TTCTAATTGTTTTATGTTCTAGAATATGGCAAGAAGAATTTTGACTTATAGGACACTTTTGACCAGGGCTCATTCTTCCTCCTGCATTATGCTGTGTTTTCAAATATAATCACCTAGAACTTGCGAATATACACTAGGCCTAGTTAATTAACAGACCACTGTACTGAGACAATATGGTTGCTGCAGGTGCTACCTCACCTTCTATTAATTCTAGTGTCTGGAGTTAAAATGCTGACCCAATGGCTCAAAATATTTTTAGTCAACCTTCTGTAACAAGCATGCAGTTCAGGAGGTCCAACTCTACCTTTTCTAATCTGCAAGCATGTTCCAGGTCAGTTACTCATGAAGTACTGAATCTGGGTACAGACAGGTATGTGGTATTCTCATAAGCAGTTTAGCAATGGCAGTCCCTTTTCTCAGTAAAGACTTCCTTGATTAATATAGAGTTTGAATTATATTGCATTATTTTCTCATTTTTCCAGAACAATGTTCCTCTCAAATGTCTCTGTAGTTTGGAGAGGTTTTTGCATTGATTTGAGATATGTAGAAGAGCTTGTCCCAGCTCTGCAAGCTGGTATTTGTATATTGAGTGATATGGGTCCAAGGGCTCCAGTAGGATAAACAATGGGCCCAAGGACTTCAGTAAGATAAACAGTGGGTTCAGAGGATTCAGTAAGATAAACCGTGGGTCCAAGGATTCCTAGTCATTCATACTGAGTTTATTATGGCAGATATTAGACAGATATTTTTTACTACGTGGAATGGAGCCAACTGAAAGTAATGTTTGGGGTAATGATATAGGAATGTACAGGTACATCTAGAAATCTGGGCTTCATATATGGATCAGTCTTCTAAACCTTCCTGTCATGTTGAAATATCAGCTGTTCTGACACTCAAAGCTCTGTCACTTGAAGGCAATGTCAAGAGTTTTCTGCTAAGTTCTATACCCACAAATTCCTATTGGACCATCACTATCATAGGCATCCTCACTGGCTACTGGGAATGTGCAGAAGATAAGGAGGGACAGGCAATCTTTAACAATGTCAGGCAGCACTGAAGCTTTGCCTATCAATATGGCTGTGGCACTTATGTACAGGTTCTAGGTGCCAACAATTTGCGCCCCTTTCCCCCAGTAACAGAGTAGCTTTTATTATTCCAGCTTTTTAGTACCAGTAGGCCTTGATTTTACTTCATATGTATATGTGAAGCTTATAAAGTTTAAAAGTCAAACCATCATTTGTTGATAGCTGGAGCAAACTTCCCTTGGCCATTGTGTTAGAACCAGTCAAGCAAAATTTTGTTACCCATATTACGTAACGGTAAATACAGCCTCTCCATATTTGCAAATACAGCTGAAGCTTTTCTCATTTGTTATTTATATAATATTAACATATTATTTACGATTACAATTTCAAGGAGTCATGCAATGACTATGGCACTATTGTTTGTCACTCTGAGTACGGTATACATCACGCACAATGTGCTACAAGAGACTCACATAACGCTAACGGATATTGCTCTATTTTTCACTGATCGTCTTCGGCTTTCCACTTAAACAGTACAAACTACCTTTGGGACTCTTTAAAATAAAGAACAGTCCCCGAATTATTTAGTGTCAAAGACAATCAATTCCAGGTTTCCGCTGTTTGTAGTCATATTAATGTAATTACAAATGTCATTTTCAGAGTGGGAAATTTTTCATCGAAAGCTTGGGCAAACCTATTTCATTATATAATCTGCGTCACTCTCATAGAATTGCCTGCGTAGGAGACATGCATGTCTTAATTCATTAGTATGAAGATGACCTTATAGTATAGAACTGGAACAGCTACAGGGGCCTTGGAAGCCTGCCACCATTTGGTATATATAAATCCTATGTTCAGTGCATATTCTCAGCAATTTAATTAAAACAGAAATAAAATGAATTTACAGCAGCAAAAAATTAAGTGCTATGAAACTACGAGAGGTGCTTTAGGAAAGGTTGAGATTATAGGTCTATAAAACAGGGGTTTTTTTTTAGAGAGAATTTTCAAGGCAGTGTGAGCGTAAAAGGCTTTTCCAGTTAGAGTTTCATTAATGGTGATAATACCATAATGAGCGCCTGATGCTGTAAAACCAACATTGAACTTTGGAAAATGCCGGTTGATTAAATCCAGACAGGACAACAATAAACAGTTAGTTCCCCTTGGATAGAAAACATTGTTCTGATATTTTTAAACAGGATGCTGCTTTACAATCACATTGAAAAAAGACTGTTAGTGCTCATTTACACATGCGGCATGGAATTACTTTTCAGAGGCATTTGATGGGCAGTATTTTATCCCACTGCATTGACTGCAGCTGTAGGGAGGGTGCACCATAACTTTCTTCACTTGAATGGGTCTCATATGGCAGGTGATAATGCCTGCCAAACGGGAAAGTGTGCTTCATTCATCCTGCAACTCTGAAACAAAGCATCTCGGCTGCTGCATGTGTACACCCCTAGGTGCTGAATTTTCAGCTTACAGGGATCGGTTGGGGTAGTAAAATGCATCCCAACCAAGTGTTTTTACCACCCCCTAACAGCAAGTGTAAGTGAGCCCTTAATTTATTAATACATTCAACTTCAACTTAATAGAGCTACCAATGCTATTGTATGCCCTTGCATGGCTCCTAATTTTCATTTGTAAATTATATTATTGAGCTGCCATCTTCTGATGGCTTTACCTTCAGTAGGGCTTTAGCTTTGTTTTCTGTCTGGGAAACTGGCTTAAAGGGGTTTATTTATTAAAAGAGTAAATCATGTTCATTTTGAAAGAAAAATTTCACTTCATGAATATGGTGAAAATGCACTTTTCACTTGCAAGGAAAATTAAAAATTAACAAACATTTTGCTTGCACGTGATTGAAATCAGCACAGCTTTGCCACATTCACTAAGCTAAGTGAAAACGTCCTTCAAAAATGAAAATTACCTTGCAAAGTGAATATGCTCCTCTCCTTTAGGAACTCAACCCCACTGTGCTTTACAGCTGGCAGACCATGTTCTCTGCTGGAACTTATGTAGACTGTGTCAGCTTGCTCTACAGTGGGATGAGAAGACATTGCGGGGGCATGACTATCCACATTGTCACTGCTGATTCAAAAGCATGCAACTGGCCACACCTAGTCCTGCCCACCACTTTTCTATTCCTGCCCACTACTTTCTGGATTGACAGCATTGTCTCTGCTGCTGAAACCCCCCCACTGTGAGCTGCAGTGTCTGGGAGAATGTGAGAAATAACTAAAGGAGGGTTTGGCTCGCTTAAGGAGGTAAAGGACATTTTGTTTTAACTTTCTCAGGCTTGTGCATTACATGGTAACTAAATATGGAACCACATTAAATTGTCATACTGGAGCCTTTAGATGTACTTTAAAGTGAACATAGAAATATGGAGGCTGCCATTAGAAAATGATAATTTGCTGGCCCTCTCCTGTTAATTAAGTGGCTTCAGCTCTTTCTAAGTCCTTGACCTGGAGCACGTTTACAGATCTTAGCAACTTGCATAATTAGGAAAAGGTTAACATTAGCAGCCTCCATATCTTGGCACTACATTAACATTATGTGAATGCTAAACTTAAACCAATAGTGAGCAAAGTCAAAAAGATGCCATGGGTCAAATGTTTTCCCTAACAAGCTGAGTGGGCAGTGTCATAAAATGTCCACTACAACAAAACCCCATAATAATTCATATTACATACACGGTTTATATCAAAACAACGGCTTTATAATTATTTAAATAAAACAAAAATTACACTGAAATCATACCAAATAGCTGAAATTAACACTGATCAGTAGATAACATGTATGGTCTCATTAATGGTAATAAAGATTGCTCATATCCCAGTTTTTTCTATATAACATTCAGAACACGCCTGTCCAAGAGGTTTCATTCTTGTAACACATTAGTCAAATTATACAGCAACAATATTTAAAATTTTTGGTGTATATAAACTGCAGGATGTGTATCCTGTTAAGTCTCTTACGCAACCTCTACTACTATGTCACCTAGAACAATAGAAACCGTAGATAATGTTCCTGCTCCTACTCTTGCATCTTAATGTGAAACTTCCTGATATCAGACTCTTGTTACATCTGTATAGAATTCTACAATACTTTTGGTGATGTTCAGTACAGAGACAATGTCAACCTATTTTTGTATTTCACAAAGTTTTACATTTGACAGCTGGTATTGCCTTCTCGCAGCCGTTAAAGGGAAAAGAAAGGATCTTTTTTTTCCAAGTATTCAATAACAGAAATATCAGAATGTGAAAAAAGTCCAGGTGGGTCTTCTTTTCAAACTGAGACACAACACAATCAGAGGCAAAATGTCAATGGTGAAGCTTGCCAAACCAGTGAGTTCTAATAGATTTGCTCATTACAAGTTAGAAAGACATTAAATCGCATATTCACTTTCAGTTCTTTCATTTGTGTTGATCCTTTTGATGACTTCATACATAACCACTGGATAAAGAGGAAGGCCCTCTTAAAATGGCTAAGTAGATTTTAAGGCTTTTAGCCAAACCAATACGGCTAATATTTAAACATCTCCAAACATCATAATCACATGACATTCAGTGGGTTCAATTGCCATTGGTGCACAAAGGAACACGTGATTGGTTATGGTAACTGAAACAAATCAGTATTTTAATGAGAGTAGACTGTGTACAAATATTGCTCCCCCTCCCTTTCCTAGTGTTTATAAGACTGATTAGATAAAAAGGGTTGACTAAATTGTGGTAATATATAAAAAAGCAAAGCAACAAATGAAAAAATGCCTCTTGGAGCTCATAAAGTCTACTATAAAAAGTCTCCAACATTAAATCTGCACAATTTTCAAATATTAAACAACTGGATGAGCAGATGGCTCAGGTAAAGAGCCACCCATATAGGTACTCCTCATTTTTTTAAATGCTGTTTTCTTTTCCACAACTGGAAAGCAAAAAGGCAATATATTATGAGTCTTTGTCACTGTCTGCACCACTATACATATCTGCTAGTTTTTTTAAAACGTGGTCCCCAGTCACTCAGATAGTCATAGTCCTGATCACCATCTGTAGTGACAGATTCCAGGGAACTTAGGGACTCTGCCACTGAACCATTGCCTTCATATGCGTATGTTGCTAAGGAGTCATAAGGGGGAGCTGTTGGATCCAGGTCATTCTCCTTTAACCTTTGGTTGATGAAATCTCTGACATCAGTGTTGTCTCTTGCCGATGGAGTTCGACGTGGAAAAAAGAGTGTTTCTGGAACAATATCCCTGCGCAATTTACTGTCTTCTATGGCTTCAGGGTTTCTCAATGTACCAATATCAAAGGCTTGAGTATCTTCCTCTCCACCTCCTTCATCATTGTAACTCACAATGTTATCCCTTATGTCTTCTTTAGAAACAATCAACGGTTCTTTCTTTCTCTGTCGTCGTAAAGCAGCAAATAGGACCACCGTTACTGCAAAAAAAAGAAAACAAAATATGAAACAAGAGTACATTATTCTATCATATATTATGTTGCATGCAAAAAGAAATAACAAAAGGATCTCAGATACACAAAGAATCCTCAAGGGCATATGATGAGCTTGTCCTTTTTTGCTAAATGCTTTTCAGCACTATGTTTTGTACAACACAAAGAAAAGCAGAAAAACAAAATAGAGATTCCTACAGGTATCTATGGTTGTTTAGGGACACAGGGAGTGATTTTTCAAAGGCAAATAGGCAGTTCACTTTACAACGGAATTTTCTCTTAGCTTAGTAAGAGTGGTGAAGATTCACTTTACAAAGAATATCATCCCAATCATGTGCAAGGAAAATTAAAAATGTTTTTGGTTTGAGAATGATTGGATGATTGAAGTCAGTAGAGTTTTACCTCATTCACTAAACAAAGGAGAATTGTCTTGTTCTCATCACTTTAACTAAGGGTGGCCATAGACAGACATATCACCAAGAGTGAGAGTTAGGGAGATACTTCTACTTCCTAGTACATGGCAGCATCTGCTAATATTTACTTTGCACCTCAACCAATAGTCAGAAATATATACCAGTGTAATAATGAGTTTTATACTATTGGGAGTGTTCTATGCAGGGCTTTTTTTCATAGAGAATAGGTGTAAGAACTCCCCCCTTCTGAATCACTTCTGTCCACCTCCACCTCCTACCCATCTCCGAGCACTGTCCCTTGGTTCCATCCCCTATCCACCTACCAGTACCGCTCCTTGTAGAGAAAATACAGCCAAGTATAATTTTGTATGGAATTTGTTAATGATAACAAAAAGAGCAGTAAAATAGATCCACTGCAGCCAGCAGCAATAGACCCCTCCACCAACAAAGATTCCCTCAGCAACAATCGACCACTCCAATAACAATAGACCCCCAGAAGCAACAACAAATCCCCAAGCAGCCAGCATCAATAGACTCTCCAGAAGCCAACATCAATAGATCCCTCCTTCAACAGTAGATCCCTTCCAGCAACAACAGACTTCCCCAGCAACAACAGACCACCATGCAGAAATAGATCTCTTCCAGTGAAAATAGATTCCCCAGCAGCCAGCATCAACAGACCTTCCAGCACACCCTAGCACCCCTTGCCATTACATATATTCAGTGCTGGAGGCACGTTCCCCCGTGTTCCATTGAAAAAAAAACCCTGGTTCTACGTATGAAAATATACCTGTTCATCCTGCCAGAAATCTTGTGAGCTGATATCTTTCTTTGCTCTCTGCCTCTGATGCCTGTTACCAGTCACTACAGAAGCACTGAATTTTGTTAAGATGTTTTCTCAGCAGCTCAGCTCATCCTGCCCCCCTCCCAGCAGTGATTCAGAAATATGTTCTAAATATGTTAGGCAGGCTTAGAGCTGGTGTTCTGGGAGGAGGGAGCAAGGTGAGCTAAACTGTTGAGTGGATAACTTTAAGGACTTTGTCCCCTGTGAACATTTGAAGATTAATTGCTCCACAATGTCTGCACCTATAGAGATTAGTGAGGTCCTGTTTTAAAGCCCATTTACTGCTCAAATATGTAAATACTTGAAGTACAGCAATCAAGGAGACCATATTTGTTTATTATTTTCTTTCTGATTCAGTCAGATACATTTTCATACATAACCCCATCACAGTGTAAGAGGGATCTCAGCTTATTTCCACATGGCTGACATGGGCAGCTGGGCTCTACCTTTACATACAGAATTCGAGAGCATCACACCCACATATTGTTCATGTGTACAGATGTACCTTTCCTCCACATCGTCCTGATCACCCTTTTACACCTGGAGTACTCATGCACAGGCCTATGTTTTACATGTTGTTCAGAGCTGAGGCACCAGAAGTCCAACTGACCTTTCAGGACTCATGAAACATGGTGGCCTGGGCCACCCGATGTGTGGTTCACCCATCCCTTTTCTTCCACCACTACCCACTCCAAAGCTGACCAGGTTTGCACCAGTAAAGCAAACCATTCTTCACCCCCAGGCATTGGCTGTACTTAACACATTACCTTCCATTAGAACACCTCACAGAGGCTTTTTGTTGCAAAAGTAATTTCTTTAGTTTCCAGCTACATTTCAACAGACAATAATGATAGTATTAACTTTTCCAAATAATGATGAGGTAGAACATATCAGTCTGTTGCATCATGTCAGCATGTAAAACAGTGTAAGAACAAGATGGTACTCATAACCAGATATCAGTCCACAAGTTAAGTTCCCAAAGACCATAGGCAAAGGTATCCACAGCCCCCCCCCCCCCCCCCCAAAGGGGGAACATACCAGAAACCCTTCAGCTGACCTCTGCTTTCTGAGGTGCCAGGCAGACTCTCTCTGTACCCAAGCTCCTCCCATTGTATAAAAGGGTACCCCAATGTCGCCACTCCTCCACTAGGAGGAGCAACCCTTAAAGGGGTCTCTACCTGCCTACACTTTTTTTTCCTGATAAAGACATCTGGGAAAAGAAAAAATGCCAAACTGAAGCAAAATGGAAATGGAGGAGAATCGATTATTGCTGTCCACTTTTATTACCAGCTGATTAACTATAAAAGGACTGAAACAACCTATGTATAAAACAACATGTAGCACTAATAAGGAAAAACAAAAGTTTAAGAATGTAGACCTGTCTTTAAATGATGTTACCAATTTATTTGTATCCCATCTGAAATGCCTTGAACTAAATCAAGTTACTTCATATAAATTGCTTCACTACCATTGCTCCTACATCTTTTTATTATATTTTGTGCGCTCCAATATATTACCTAGTGATCTTGGGATACTGTTCCACTGTAGCTGTATTTCATACTTAAGGCCTAATTACTGCAATCTGTGTATGCGTATTTTGACTTACAGAATGCAATTGCCTATGATGAAGTGGTAAATTACTTGCTTTATTTGTTGTGTGCTACATTTTAGCACGTTGCCATTACACCACTAACAACTGGTATAAATACATACTGTTCTTCTATTTCTCTTTCAATTAATAATATTATTGTGAACTCTTTTCTTCAATATTGAGTGTTGAAAATGGCGATTTAAAAAGCTGCCAGCCAAGAACTTACCAACAGAGTGGGGTTTTCAGCTGCTTTTTATCTAGACTGAAAGCAGAATGACTAATGGCATAAGAGCTGCAACATAATTGTCCTATCGTACTTAAATAGGTGCATTGATTCGAAGGAACTGCACAGGAGACCTAAAATAGACTATGGTATAATTATACTGCTGTACTGAAACAACCCCTTACTGTAAATTATGCAGAAATTCTACAGAAGGCTGGAAGTACAGCACTGGTGATTTCTGTGTGGTTTATTTCTAGGAGAATAGATTTTAACTGCAATAATGCAGCAAGGAGTCTTTTGGAAGGATTCCCAGCTAGGTCATTTTTGGATGCATTCCTTAGAATTCATCATAGTGTTATATGGGTAAATAATATAACTTTAGAAGCTATTGAAATGTTTTTAATGATATACTTTGTCATGTTGCCATTTGAGTTAAAGGATCACTATTTTAAATATACTGTCTTTTGATAGTGAGTTAAGGCAAAACTCTATTCAGGTATAAAAGACAGCACACAATAATGCAGCTTTGTATTCACAAATAATTCATTAAAATTAGTTTGTACAGCTAATAGCATCTTCTAATTTTATGTGCAGCAGTATTTAGACTACATATTTAGACTAGGAGAGGAAGAGGCAGAACTGGTAGCCAGTCGAGTGAACTGCATGCAAAAATGCTCATTAGAAACAACCTCAGATTTAGTGTTTGCCTATATGAAATCCAAACCCAAACAATATCTGTAGTATTATGTAAAAGCTTAACATATTCTTCTTAAATTAGTTTTTCTATAACAAGAAGACTAAAATATACATAACAGACAATTTTAATAATGCTGCCTCTGTTTATAGTTCAGAGAAGATCCCAAAAGGTGGGCTACATGTAAAACCCTTCTATACTTCTTTTTAGCTGTTCTTGTGATACTGCCTCTCCTTTCCAGCATCGCTATGCATCTTAAGCCCATATCTTCATCTTTTCTATATGTACTTCAAGAAGGAATAACGTTGACAGCATTAGAAAAAAATCCCCCCTCTTCAACATTACTGAATAACATAAATTACCTTCCTCTGTGGTTTTCTGAACCATAGGTACCTGATTCACAGTCTAGTTATTGCTCTAATTTGGCAAAAATTCCATGCATTGGACTAAAGAATTTTAACATATCGTTTGACAGTTAGATTTAAGTTATCCATTTTTATTTCCAGGCTAAAAACACATGCAGGTATATTTTAATCAGCCTTTATTAGGAAGGGGGGATCTGAATGAGTCCACATACCTGCAGATCAGTCAACCTGATATTTGGGTTAACAGGTCAAAACTGAAAATCACAATCTATTTAACTGGATGGGAAAACATCATATTATGACCTTATCTATGAACAGATGGGGTCATTAAACATGCTGCATAATCTTCTATCCCAGTTGTTTGGTATAGCTGATGTGGTAAAAATTTGAAAAAAGGGTCATTTTCTTTCTATACAGAGAATGATTATTGACATACTGATTTATTCTCTGAAGACTGATAAACTAAATGGTTCTACATGAAAGTGTTTTATGATAATTTCTTAAGGGTTGCCAAAATCCTCATTTCCATGGAAATAATACAGCACTTCTCATTTTAGGCCAACATTGGCTTAGATGACATCCTAAGCTTCTCGCGTAATAATTTAAACATGTCTAAAAAAAACTTTATTTAACTCCCAAGTAAGTCATGTTTTCCTTCACTGTAGCTTGCAGTAAACAGTCGGCTATTCGTCGACTGATTGATAATCAATGAGATTTTGCATTAGCAGTGCCAATTCAGATAACCATGTCCCCTGCAAAATCTTTTCATTTTGCTGTACTGTAATCAGACAGAGCCTATGTGAGGGTGACAGATGAAGCTTGGAAGTGACAAAACGCGTTAGGGGATGTGACGTCAAG